TCATGGGGTCACGAAGAGTCGGACACGACTTAACGACTAAACAACAACAACAACAAATGTTACAGGAATCCAGGCATGATTGATTATGTAACAGTCAGAAATTAGGCCCCTGAAAACAATAGAAACTTCTTGAGAATTATACATAAAATTACAATCTTTTAAAAAAGAGGGAGTACATTTTTTATAATAAATGTATTTTCTTTCTTTCTAGATGGTTATTACCCAAATCCATTTGTAAACATTGGAACTACATACAATGCTTCTCCTTCAAACATCTGTTTCCTTCTTCAGTCACATTATAAATTGACTTGTTTTGCAATGCAGGTTTTGGACTAAATGGCCTTTTGTTTCTTTAACACAGATTATGATTTAAGCCCTAATCATATTTACTCAGGAATAATGCTTACTGATATCAGTACAGTGGAAGTCTGTACCAGGACTTAAAGCATTTTAATGTTCCAAATGTCAAAACTACTGAAAAATATAGCCTTTCCCCCAAAAGCTTGGAAGTACCTTGGTGTTTTTATTATCTCACGTAGTTGTTGCAAGCCTACTACTTAAAAATGTGTCTGACCAATGACAGGCTGTAACCAGATCAGTTACTGAACTCTGCAACTGTGGAGTGTAATGCAAGAATTCAACTACTGTAATACTTTTCCCTAGGGCTGCTTCTTTGTGTCTGAAATAGCTTCCTCTTGAAATTCTTTCAGTTTGATAGCACTGAACCAGGGCTGGGGGGCATGGGGGTTGAGGAGGAAAACCTTTCATTTTCAATATATTTCTTAGGATACTATATTTATTACTGAATAATGATTTCCACATTATAAAATGTTACCAAAAATCTTTCATAGCTTCTGTAACTGGATGATCATTAAAGATGTGGGAAAAGTTTTATGCAAAAGCCCCAAACCACCAAACAAAGAACATCTGTCTTGTTTTTTTTATCCAACTGTGCAGCTTCATTTAAAACATTTTTTTTTTTGCAAAAAAGCCCCAGTGTATTCAATGAAACATTGTTCCACTCCAATCGCGTTAGAAAAAGACCTCTTAAAGATTATCGCTGAAGAAATCCAGACGGTCACTAGATGACAGCCAAGAGATCGAGAACCCTCAATTTGCTATCTCCTAATGGCCTTGCGGATTAGTGCAGCCCACGTCTAGTAGCTCTATTGCAAGGACTGAATAGTCCATTCCAGAGGCACAAAACTACAGGATGGATTTTAAGGGGAGTTGCAACAGCAGCCCCTGAGTTCTTGACGGCTTTCTGATCCACCTTGACCCTGGATTGCGCGAGATTGTGCTCAAGGAGTGAGAGTCCCAGGATCGCGAGCGCAGCCCCGAACTGTTCTGAGCAGGGACTGTAAAGCGTTAAGAGAGAGAAATCTTTGCTGGCCTGGTTTGTCCGCTACAGGCCGCCGTAGCGGGGCCAGCTCGGTACAGTCATGGCTGCCGCCCGGGGAAAGAAAGAGGAGAGCAGCGGCTGTAAGACGAGAAAAGAGGAGGATGAGGAGGATGGAGAGGATAACATTCTCTACGACTTGCTGATCAACACCGAGTGGCCGCCGGAGAATGAGGTGCAGGTGGGTCTCTTCGCCGTTGCCGCACATGCATTGCTTGCCTGCTGGCGGCGAGAACAGTGGAGCGCTCGCCACGTAGCAGGGGAGAGGTCGGGTCGTGAGAAACGACCGCGTGTCATTGACTTCTTAAGGGCTGCCGCTTGTTTATGCCCCAGTTTTGATTGTGTGCCCGTGGGGACTTTAGCAAGAATATCTACGTTGCAAAAGAGTTTGGAGGTCCTCCTCTGATGGTAGAATAAGCTCCCTTCTGTCGTTAAAGATCATGTCAATCAAAAGTCCTTCGGACTTCAGGATGAAGAACCATTATAGTATGGCAGAGAAGTCAGTCGGTTAGTTATATTCTGCTATATCCTGTATTTCCACACAAAATAATAATAATAATAATAATAATAATAATAATAGACTCGATAGGTGGATAAAAACACTAAGTCCAGTCTAAACAACTGGCTGACTGTGTGACCAACAATAATAATTTATTAAATTTATATGCTGCCTGACTCCCAGCAACTCTGGGTAGTTGATTGATTGGTTTGATTGGAATAATGAGCCATGCACAATATATCAACCCATCTTTAAAGAGGTGGTAATGTGAGGCTGACTTGGAAAACCTAAGTAGGTGCTTGGATGGGAGACCAGCGGGGCTATAGGCTAGAAGCTGAAAAAACATCCTGGAAAACAGGAGCAAAAAGTTTCTATATTATTGTCAATAATAGGTACACATGACCATGTAGGAATTGAGCTTGATTTGAGGGAGACTTTACTTTAATAGGTTAAAATTAGATTAACAGGTAGCCAGTTGAAAACTTTCAGTTGGAATATTAAATGGCCAAATGAAAGCAACCTCTAACTTCACAGAAGCAGTATTATGTGGGGATCCTGGGCATGAACACTACAAATAACATGCTGTGGGTTATATGTACTTTCAAGAAACGTATGATTGATTCACGCATCCAGTTGCACAGCAACCTCTGTGCATACGCATGAGGCTTCTATATAAAAAGGATGTTGCGTATGTGAAAGTTGTCAATAATCTGAGTCTCCTTTATGCTTTTTGCTACATACTCAGTGGAATACTTATCACACATGCCTCTACAGTATTTCTTTGTTTTCACAGGAGTCCTATCATCTTTAGCTATGTAGTTACCTTAAGTTAGTTGAATACATTAGGTTTTTACTACTGAGCTTTTCTTCTAAACTTCCATAAAACCCAATTTCACAAGATACATTTTTTTAAATAAATGAAATCATATCACAAGAAACCTTGTGCCCATTGATAAATTCAGTAGCTCAGGATCTAAGTGGATAAGTCTATAGTTTTAGAGTGCAATGTTATATAAAAACCATTGTGTTGACTGAAGTTTATTTCGTAGAAGGTGGTGATCAAATGGAATCTCAGTTATTACTCTACCTCCCTTAGCTTACAGATTGATTAATGCTATACCAAGTAACCTTTCCTGATAGGTAGATGTTACTTATTTTTGTCTGTCTGTATATATGTGATGTTTAAGTGTGATGTTATATAAACCAAAATAAAGGAAGGTTTCAGGTGTAAAACTTAAATGTTTTATATGGAAGAATAAATAAAATTAAAACCACTTCTCTATGTAGTCACCACAAAAAGTTTTATTTGGAGAAGTGAAGTTATAATGTTATTTGTGATTAACTTTATAAGATCTGTAGGTAAGTGGAGTAGACACCATCCTAGATATGCATTGGATCATGCAGATGTTGATTGTAGGGTACCTTTTGATGCCAAAGTGGTTAGGAATTGGGTTAGACATTATATGGGGGTCATCTGGCAGAAGGAATGAGATATTATTGTTACTGGCTGGAGAGTGTATTTTTATTTATTTATTAAATTTATATGCTGCCCATCTCCCCCAGAGGGTAGCTCTGGGTGGCTCACAATTAAAATCCAAATGTTAAAAACAATAAAAATATAAATATCCATACTAAATTAGCTAAAAAAATACTATATAAAAAGACTATATACAATTTGAGATGGGGGGACAGAATCCATTACCCCCCAGCCAATTGCAACAATGCAAGCCCTCATCAGGCCCCCAGGCCATCTGGCATAGCCAAGATTTTACACTCTTCTGGAAGGCCATGGGAGTGCGGGCGGACTGCACCTCAGGTGGTAAGTAGTTCCACAAGGCGGGGACCATGGCAGAAAAGTCCTTCTTCCTAGACCCTGCCAGCCGAAATTCCTTGACTGGTGTTGTCTACAACGTGCCCCTTCTTCTGGACTGAGTGGGGTGGGCTGATATAATGGGGGTGAGACAGATTCTCAGATAACCTGGTCCTGGGGCATGAAGGGTTTAAAGATAATAACCAACACCTTGAATTGGACCTGGAAGCAAACAGGCAATCAATGCAGCTTGTGTAACAGAGGTGTTATATGTGCCCCCCTGGGGCGTTCCAAACTGTCCATGGTGCTGCATTTTGTGCCAACTGTAGCTTCCGGCTACTCTTCAAGTGTAGCTCCATGTAGAGCATTTTTTAAAAAAATTTATTTTATTTTATTTTTATTTTTGTTCGAAGCGTAGTGATTTTTGGTTTTTTGATATTTCTGACAGAGCCTGCCAAGTTTCCTTCCTGAGGGTGTTGTCTGGGCATGGCTCTACAAGGGACATGTTGTTTCTTATTGGAAAGATAGATAATAATGTATGCCCTCTTTGTGGCATTATTAAAATTATCAATCATTTGCTATGGGACTGCATCTGATTTCTCCCTGAATGAGAGGTTCTTTTTCTGTCTGTTCCTTCTATCGGTTCCTCTATTACATCATTGCAGGGACTGTTTGGGGATCATTGTTATTGGTCATTAGCTAGAAATTGTCTGTACAGATCTTCTGTACAGACTTGTACATTGTACAAGTAATGATCTTCAATCATTCCATCACCGTGAAAGGTTGTGATGTTAACTTATGATTTTCATTAGTAGAACCTTCCTGTCCTGGATCAGCATAACCTTTTACAAGAAGAAAGTGAAGCAAATGTATTGGGCAATGGAGCTTAATCAGCTTCTGAACTGATATTTATTAATCATTTTAAAAAGTTCTTTGTCTGCTTGATTAAGGTAACCTACTGCATCTGCCCAATGACTCCTTGCTAACTGAAGCCATCAGTGTCCTTTTTATTTATTTTTGTTATGCTAAAAATTCCATGGATAATTTATGCCATTAGGATTGTTTTCGTATTTTCCGGTTAGTGACTGTAACATTATGTTTCTTATTGAGGAATATTCCCAAGAAAGAGATGCTTAACAGATAAAGGGAGGACCTATTGCATGCCTGGATGACATGCAGCATTGAATCTGTTATTTGTTTTGTGTTTCCTTACCTGGCTCTGGGGTGAAGTATTTCCTGTACAGCTTACTTTCACAATTCTCTAAAACAGCTTAGAGCTGAACTTAGAGTTTTGAAGACTTGCTCAGCCTAACAGTTAATTCACAAACTACATCAGCTTAAAGGTCCTGCAAATAAAGCATTTGCTGAAAACTCTCTTCTTGTTCTTACAGCCAAGAGGCAGCCGGAAGCATTGTGCATCATTTATCATCACAAGAATGATTATGGGTAAATATGCTAGCTTGATTATTCAATAGATCTTATGTGGCTAAAATTAATGTAGTGTGAATTAATTAATTAATATAATGTATATGGTTGCCCATCTTATAGAATGGAAGTATTATGGCTTCTATATGTTTATCATGTGTTGTTGGTGCCATTTCAAGTTAATTAAGTCCAGAATTCTGAAGCATTTTTTTTTTGAGTCATTAGGGCAGGAAAAAAAAAAAAGACTGGCAACAATTTTACAATATTTAGTTCATCCCATTAAACCAACTCCATTATAAATTTCACTGATGCACTAACCTAGAAAGATTTAAAAACAGCAGTTACAAACTGTTCACTAAAGTTATAGATCATGGCTTGTTATTTGATATTGTCTTATACTATATCCAGAGCCTAGTATAATATTAATTGCATAGCATTTACAGGTAGACCTCGCTTAATGACTGCCCATTTAATGACCGTTCAAAGTTATGGCGCTGAAAAATTAACTTTCTGACCAGTCTTTGCATTTATGACCATCGCAGCGTCCCCATGGTCACGTGATCAACATTCAGGCGCTTCACAACCAGTGGGCATTTATGACCATTGCAGCATCCCATGGTCACGTGATCACTGTTTGCATGCTTTACACCTGGCTTCTGACAAGCAGAGTCAATGGAGAAGCCAGCAGTAAGATAGCAAGTCATGGTCATGTGATGCCTCACTTAATGACCAAATGGGAAGTGATGTTGTAAGTCCATTATGGTCATGTGATACTTTGCTTAGCGACCATGTTGCTTAGCGATGGAGCTGCCAGTCCTACTTGTGGTTGCAAAGTGAGAACTGTCTGTATTGGGAAACATGATGCTTTGTAAGATTCCTCCCTTTTCTTTTTCTCCTATCTTTTTCCTTTAGCATTCTGTGATGTCCTATTGGTATTAATTTATTCATTTCGAAAGAGTAGCATAGGTCTCTCTGGATCTTTTTTTGTATATTCGATGCATCTGTATGTACAGTGCATTCGGAAAGTATTCAGACCCCCTTCA